AACGATAAATTTAAATCGGTTAAGTGTTTGGTTACATCAACCAAGAAAGATAAATCTTGTATCCATATTGAAACGTAAAACAAACTTACGTCTTGATTTTTCGTTTTTAAAAACTGACATATTTCTTCTTTCAAATCCCAGAATTGTTTGAGAATCTTGGAGCAAGATAACTAACGTACCTCGGTATAGTAAGACAAACCCGAATATTCATTATCTTAACTCACTTAAGAAAGCAGTGAATTGACGCTGATTTAAACCTCGAGATCTTATAAAATTATATTTTTTATATATGAACAAACATTTCCATATTTATGACATAGAACTCTTGTTTTATAAACATTGATTGTTTATAATACAATGCATATGATGAATGTTTGAACCGTGAATTCACTAAGTTTTTTTCTTAGTAATGCTACGAAGCCCTTGTTTTTCCCAGTCATTCATGGAGCGCCATCTGTAGCTACAGAATTTAATTCTGCCAAAGGTAGATTGTATTTCGCAGAAGTCCAAAAACACAAGTAAATATATCTTCTCCTGTGGTAGTACCAGGCATCGGTATTAGTTCCAGTAATTCCTCAAAAATGTTAAAATTCTGTCAAGAAAGAAGAAGAAACACTGCTAATTGAGTTTTGCCATTAATGTCCGTGCTCTCGTCACAGGCAATGGAGAAACTTTCGAAACTAGATGATTTTGCTTTGATCTGATCACTTAAATTCGCGGCTAAATCAGTAACTCTTTCCGCAACTGTATTTCGAGACAATGAAATTCATTGAAAAGCCTTCACATTTCCAGCACAAACAATTTCTCCAGCTTTATTTATTCTTTCCACAAGAGATAAATCAAATTGCTGAAATATTTCTTCAAAAATATTCTAACAATATCACAAAATGTCAAATGTTTAGCAAAAATCAATTCAAAACAGAGAACTAATTCTATCTCACAGCGAAATCGCTACAAATCAATCACAGCATTAAGTAAACAAACAGTTCGCTAGAACTACAGCTACTACTGAGATGAGTTGTTTGTTCTCGGCTTTTTAGCTTTATAATTAATTTCTTGAATATACTGGAAACATCTATAAATATCTGGATTTTTGTGGATGACAACAGCAATTACGAGATATTTATTATTTTAGGTATTAAATGCACACGCTGTTCTATTTTAACCTTCCAACACAGCTGTCTTTTCAAAAATTGTCTGCGTTGCTAAGGCAACATGAAGCAAATCTAATTACAATTCTAAATAAAAAAAAAAAAACTAAATAAATGAATAATAACTATGAAATCCGTAACAATATGAATTAAGTAATAATTAATAATAAAGCGAAGTGCATGAATATGCATGCACCAATATATCGTACAAAACTATGATTGGAAAACTGAGACCATGAGTTCGGCCACATTCGGCTATCGGGGGATGCGTACAAGTTCTGAGTGCACGTGTCCCCGAAAAGCCGAAGGTAGCTGAACGCAAGCTAAGCTACTCACACACATTTGTAATTTATGTAGTGTATGTGTCACTCGATGTGAGTAATCTAACAACACTAAATAAATTATCGTTAATTACTTAGCAGTAAACATTTCATTTTTTTCTTCGTCGATGTTATTTTATTATTATATTATTATTTGCCGATATATTGGCCGGGCCGCAAAAATATTTGTTGTGGGCCACGAGTTTGACATCCTTGCTGTAGATGATTGATCCCATCCAGTATTTTTCATTTTATTATGAAAATTGTTTAAAAAATGCATGCTTGCAAAAATTTTGTTTTTTCTGTGTAAATTATTATTATATTACTTTCTTTCTGTTATTATTTTTTTTTATAAATTATTACTATCATTTTTTTCCTGTTTAATTATTTTTGTATTTAAGAATAAATTTATTGCAAAAGCTGGAAATATTGTATTGCTATTTGCTTCAAATGCTGATTTTCTTTCAAAGAAAAACTTCATGAATTAATTTTACTAAAACATCAAATCAATATCAAGAATCTGCTGTTTTTTTACAGTAAAAATATTACTTTAAAAAAAAAATTATTTTCACTTATTTAAGAATAGTCACAATAGTCAATTCAATGGTATAAGCTTTGTATAAGTAATAAAAGATTAATCTTTTGATAAAATGCTCTTATGAATTCCAAGAAGGAAAAAATGTAGTGAAATATATCCTTAAAACACACAGTCAACAGTTTTGTCTCCTGTTGAAGTTCTGTTCTGTTTTTTAATTATGTTCTTCATGAAAGGAATTTACTTTTAATGAAACTGAATAGCACACTTAATTCATAACATGGACTATAATTTAATGAATAGTATTTTTATTATCCACTCTTTATTACTATCATTTGAATGGAATTTTGATCATTAAATTCATGCTATTTCTCTGGTAGAAATTCCTGGATAAGGTATGAATGTTTATAATTTTGGTGTATTTTTGAAGACTTGGGTACCTAAAATTTGTCAATGTGAAATTACTTTTGAGATATTGTTCGTAAATAGACAGCATATGTTGAAATTAAATTCAGGGGTGCGGCCTTATACATGCATATAATTAAATTCAGGGGTTACAAATTTAGAAATAGATGTATACAAACAGCTGGCAACACAGCAAAATGTATTTAATGATTGAGCATAAAATACATTGTTGGGTGAACGTTTTGTATTGCTAGTTGTGGTTGCTGGTTATGGTGACCAGTTGTGGGATACTAGTACTAGTGATAATTGATACTGGTAGTGCAGCCAACTACTGTAGTGATCGACAGTGACAGTGAATAAGGAGTGCTAAGCACACATGTTTCACTGTCACAGAAACATGTTCCTTTTGATTGAAAATTTAAAATAAAAAAAAAAAAAATAATAATGTATGTTAAGTACTGTTTTCAGCTTAACTGCTTTCACACCTGCAAAATGGAAAAATATTATATACAGGCTATCTGTCAGTTATCCTCAAGATTTTTTTTAATTAGGCATATTTAAAATATCGTATATCTCCTAAGAGAAATTATGTATAAAAATTGAAGAAGGTTTTATATATATAATATGCATGTGCATGTTTATAGTATACAAGAGTACAATGCAGAAATATTCCATACTGCTTTGCACAGAAATATGGGCCAACCAAGTATTGGTCTTCCAAAAAATATATCTAGACCTTTTCATTCTTTTCTTTTTAACTTCTTCCGTTACCCTTTCTTGGCTTATAAGAAGGGCAGACAAAAGAGCATTTGTTGAACCAGTAAAACTTGTGGTGTGAGAGCTGAAAAAGCCATGACACACAAAATAATGAAAACAAAAAGCAGAGCGAGCATGGGAAATCAATCGAGCTAGAAAACCAGCCAGCGAAAGGTGTAGACACATCCATGCATGCGCAAATTTAGCTACTCTTATTGGCCATAGCTTAGACCCCCCTCGCCCCGTAATTTTATGCTCGCAGGGTGTGAACGGATGTCCCGTATTTTATGCCCTTAGACTATGCCTCTATGCTCTTTATGCCACCGTCTGAACAAAGCTTAAGATGGTGAGGTAGACATTGTAGATATATATGGAGGAAAATATAAAACTGATTAACTGTTAAATTTTTATTTTTTAAATTGTTGTTTTTTTTATATTATTAAAAATTTACCAAAAAATGCTCATGAATTTATGGACTGACCCAATATTTGGATATAAATGGTACCTAATGTGTTAATACTCATTTTAACATTGAACTGAGGCACGATTTTATGTGATTTCCCTTTAATTACTATTCTTCAGAGTGCCAGAAATATCTTTCTCAGACTTCCTATTCCTACTGACAAGAATATGCATTCAAAAAATTGTAATTAGGTACACAAAATGCATCTAGAAATATGTCCAAACAGTTAAAGTAATACACATATTAGAAAAAAAGGAATCGAGGTATAAGTTGGAAGAATAATATTGGAACTACATTGGAAAAAAATATTTACTCTTGATTATTTTGGCAACTGTAGGCTTTGTGGCTTAACACTTGGTTGCTTAGAGAGTTAACCTACCATAAATTAGTTGCAGTACATTTGTCCATGGTTATTTTGATAACATTAAATAATGAGAAAAAATGTCCTTCAAAAACAGCAATGGAATTTAACTACTTTAATATAAATAAGTATTTTCTCAGTTTTTTAATTCAGAAAATGCAGACATTTGTCTATTAGCTGTTCATAATGTGTGTAACATAAAAGCTGATTAATGAACTTTCATGTCATACAAATGGGCAATTCTTGGAGAGCATCCCTCATTTACTGGAAGAGAAAATGCAAATGTAAAATTTAAAATTGGGCTAAAAAAGAACATTTAGTTTGGCATAAATGTTTTCCAAGTATATTTTTCCCTGCAGGAGCTGGGTGGCTCTGCAGAAATATTTTTGCATCTAAAGATGAAGAAATTGTGTCTGATCACCCTCAGAATCTGTACTTAAACTAAGATTGCTTTTTTGCCTAATTTTAAATGGTTGGCTAAAACAAAAACAAGCTGTTTGGTAACTTAACCTATTGGTGACATTTATTGGGCATTTGACTATTTTTACAATATATTTTGACAGTCCGTTGCTTAACTTAAATTAAAATGAATTATTCTGTAATACTTCAATACTATTAACTGAATTGTTAATCACAATGAACAATGTGTTTGCCATATTTTTGTATGCAAATGGGCGGGACTTTGGCAATTTCATAATATTATCTAAATGATATTATTATTTGCGATCATGATCTGCAACACCTGCTGCATTATTTTAGCGATTTATTGTTTCCATCATTTTCTCTTGTGTTTGAATAAAAAAAAGCTTCTGAGTTTTTAAATTTTCTTTATTATTATTGAATTATGAAACTATTGAAATTTAATGTGATAATTTACATTTATGTATTCTTAATTTTTTGTATGTATTTCCTTATTTGAAAATAGTATAAAAGTGGTAAATAGCATACTACGCTGTTTCCCTTTAGTAATATGATGTTTTTAAACAGTTTTCCTTTGTCTGTTTTGAAGGTTTTAAGGCCATCTTACCATATAAGAAATCTGAAATTTTGGAGTGATGTTTATCTACCAAACAATTCTGTCAATCTTGGAAGATCGACTATGCCTCCAGTCGAAGAACCTCTTCCAGAAGAAAATCTGGAAAAATCTAATCTCGTGAAAACAAAATCATGTGATAACATACCATGTGCTGAACATTCTTTAACTTTGCAACGGCGTAACAGTGACCCTAACATAGTAGAAAATACTTTTATAGAACCCGTACTTTATCCACATATTCCAGAATATACTGAAAAAATCTCTACTCATAACTCGAACATAATGGAAAATTCAGTGCTAAGTAATCTGTGCAATGGCTTTGGTGCTGATAGGTCTGAATTAGATGACTTAGAAAGGACAGGTAGTAAAAGCTTTGGAATTTCACATTCAAATTTAGTTTTGAAGGAACCTACAATCGATGGTTCCACTGATACACTAGTCAGTGAAAATGGCGCATTAGTTCAAGAACAGTGTAGAAATGAATCCAGTCATACAAACAGTGGTGAGACATTTTCGTATTCAAAGTTAACATGTTCAGTCAGTACAAGTACCACCGATCTACCTTTAACGGTGGAAGGTGTCTTGCAGTCTGTGACACAGAATATCAGTTATATTGATAGTAAGATGCCAAATTGGTGTCAAAATGTGATTGGTGCTTTTATTAGCAATAAGAGGAACAGCGATACATCAAATTCGTGCAGCTGTAGCTACACTACACCCAATCATTCACGTACTCCAAGCTCTGGTTTTCCTGCAACTCCTTGTGATGAACCTAGTGACATGCCAACGTTAAAAAAAGATTCCTCCATTCATCAGACTTTGGATGTGGATGGCTTAACTATTGTACCCAATGCTGTGCAAGAAAGAATTAAAAAACTTATTCTGCATTATAAGGTAAGTACAGTTTTTAAAAGCACTGATGATAAAGTTTGAATATACTTCATTCTTTGACATGATATATGGGAATTAAATAAAAAATAGTACTTAGCACAGGTTTTCAAAATCATGTAAAATTGCGGAGAGTTCAAGAGTATTTTAAAATTTGACAGGATTCGTAGCAGTCCTTACAAATGCTTATAAGTCCTTATATTTGAAAATAAAATATAAAGGCCCTTATAGGTGCTTACTTTTTCTTTAAAGCCCCCCCCCCCCCTTTTTTTTTTTTTGCTTTTAGTGCTTTTTTTTTTTTTTTTTAATGAATGCGCAATTTTTCCCCGTATCAAAGCCGAAACTAAATAAAACAAACTTTTTTTCTTCCTAATATGGAATGTCAGATGGTGAATCATACTCCCGGAAATAGCTTTTCCCCCTTTCTCTGCATTAACATAACCTTTGGTGCGCACAAGAGTACAGACAGGTGCATGTTGTTCTATTGGCCAAAGAATTGTGAAAACGGTACAAATTCCGGTACATTCGGTATTCTTTTCCTCCACCAAATACTACACACGTTTGAATTCTCATCAAGATTTTAATAATTTGCATTCTCGTTCCGCGGTGGTCAGTTCATATTCTTGTTATTATGATTATGCTTACCTTATGAGTATTATGAATAGCATGTTATATGTATAATAATATAGTTGCAGTAACTGCTGAAGTATAGATAACTTCTCAAATGGGTGTGTTTTTACACAGATTAGCTTTCTAAGGAATTTTATTCGGAATGGTTTAAATAAAAGGAAAATAATCGAATAGTCAAAATATTTTTTTTTCCGCCAATACATTATACAGTACGGAGGTTGGGAGGTTCTCCCCTTTCTCCACAAAATCTCTAATATTGAAACAGCAATTTTTTTTTTTTTTTTTTTTTTTTTTTTTTTTTTTTTTTTTTGTCACTGTCTAATCTGGATTTTATAGGACTAAAAGTTTTTGCAGTCTACCCAACCTAAGCGAAGATTGATTCTATTCCCAAAATTTAACACAGTCTGTTGAAAATTAGAATCAGAAACTCCCCAGATTAGTAAGTCTCTTTCTTTTCCTTTATTTACTTCTTTATTCTCCGAATACCGGCATCTGTTGATTCCGTGATTACGTATAATGTGTGGAATTACCCGCACCGCCCAAAAATAAAAAAAACGTTAAAATGGAGGTCAGGAGGTTCTTTTTGATGGTGAAAAAAAAAAAAAAATTCTTTTATTGTTATTTATGAAAATTTATTCAAGAGTTTTAAAGTTTGCTTTTTTTTCATAAGTTGCTTTTCACATAAGTACATTGTGCGCAATAAGTTGCCAGAGATTAATTGATGGTTCATTATTTATGAACACTTAAAGAGTTTACGTTGCTTTCTGAAGAATATTTCTCAGTTCCTGGTCAATTTTTTGGATGCACATATTGAAATGTCAAATCATTTTATTAGCCGAGAAGTCTAAAGAACGGCTACAATCTTCCCCACTCCTCTTTTTCCAGTTATCTGGAATATCGGCAATTTCCGGTATGCGGGTGTTAAATTTTAAGTAAAGGATGTAAAGCAAGTTCCCATCCTCTGATTTCAGAATGTGCCTCTTTTTTACTTAAATTATTTTGTTTGGAATATATGTTAAAGAAAAACTGTTATGCAATGAAAATTTAGAAAATGTTCAGAATATTGATTTAAGTTAAATTATTTAAATATTAATATGAGTGGGAAAATAAATTGTATTTATTATTAGGTGCAAAACGAATGCAATTAATATGGCTTATTAGTATTTATTTTCTATATTTTGAAATGAAATTTCATCATTAAATCTTGTAATATAGTTTAGTTCTGCATAGTTTTTTTTCTCTCATTTTAAAAATTCTGCAAATTGAACCGTCACTTAAAATTTAAAAAAAAAAAAAAAAAAAAAAAAAAAAATAATTGTTTTCCATGGTTGAGGTAATGCTCATTCTTAATAAATATTGCATTGCTCTATTTTAAATTACAAGTCTAATTTTTCTTTTAAGGTTATGCAGTTGTGGTTATTATTAGTGCTAAAGTGCTTGAAAAGTGCTTATAGGTGCTTATTTTTTTAACTAAAATGTGGCTACGAACCCTGTTTGATTATTTTCATATAATAATTAGTGGGAATCTATACATGCTGTGTAATTATTGGTACTTTCTGATTATTGATACCTGTATGTTTAATCTTGATACACTTGCTGTGTATTTACATATTTTCTGCAGATATGTGCATAGCATGTGTTCGAGTGTCAAGAGATTTATACACTTCATATTTAACTGATCAATGTATTTTTTCCATAATTATTTTGAAGACTATTGCTGGCTGTGAAAATATAAATATCAGTTATATTGATAGCCTTCACCTCAGGCTTTGTTAAATGATAGGTTAACCCTCCGAGTGCCATATCCAGTCATGAGATTTTTTTGTCATTTGGTATATATTAGCTTATAATTTTAAGATATTTTGCTCTCTTACTTTCTTTAATAATGTAAATGTCATTTTATTGAGTGTAAGTTTATGGAAATAGAGAGTAAAATGAGTAAATATTCAAATTTAGGTAATAAATTCTGTTAAGTTACCTGTATAAGTTACTTCAAAATACCTGCCCAGTGATAAATATGCCACATGAGCGCATGACGGTGAAAACCGTACAAAGCAAAGGGGCATTTTCCTTTGTTTAGTTATTTATTCTTCAAATACCGGCAGCTGTTGATTCCGATTGCATAATATCACGTGCGGAAGAATTAAGGTTACTAACATTTACGATATTTCACAGAGATAAAAGAGTTTTACTGTACTTGCTAAGCAGATTATTTTTCAGTTTCACTGGTCTATTATTTTTTCTATGATGCACATATTGAAATGTCAAAAGCATTATTTAGCTGAAAAATCTAAAGAATGGCTACAATCTACCCCCCTTTCCTCTTTTACCAGTTACGCTCGACTATCCAGAATTTCAGATATTCGGCAATTTCTGAGTATGCCAGTTAGTTAAGCTTTTTCTCTTAAAGGATGAAGCAATTTCCCGTTTTCCGATTTCAGAAAAGTTCCTTTTTTTACTTATTTTTACTTAAATTACTTTGCTTGCAATATCTGTTAAGGGAAACTGTTATACAATGAAAATTTAGAAAATGTTCAGAATTTTTATTTAAATTATTTAAATAGTAATATGAGTGAAAAAATAAATTGTATTTATTTTTACGTGCCAAGTGAATATAATAAATGGTGCTACTTTGGTAGACGGTTGAACGGATTTTTGGCGATTTACGTTGGCGCAATTTTTACAAACGTCAGCCATCTTGAAAAATGATGTTTTTACGCATAGTAAAGTATTCAAAACTTAAAAAAAAAAATAATAAATATTGTTAAAAGTAATTGATTAAATTTTTGTTGAAAATGTCGTTTTTTAAGATGGCAGGCAAGTGTAAATAAATACATTTAGTATGAGTATAAAATACTAAAGTAAAGTTATTATTACTTTCACATAGCAAAGAAGAGAATAAAAACACCACTATAAAAACATTGTGCCAACGTTTAATTAGATTAAAATATACTGAAATTGAATATCGAATTAAAAATCATCATATTAACATTTAAAAGAATAAGAATATTATTAAATTCAAATACTTTAAAATATGTATGTAGAATATAATTAACATTAAAACATATGGACAGTAATTATCTCAGCAATTTTTGAAAATAGTGTATTAATTTTTTTAACAAAAATTGAAATATACAATTATAAAACAAAAGAAAAATATGTACTTGCGTTTTTTTTTTAGTCATTTAACATGTTGTTTATTGATAAGTACTACAAAAAAAAAATCGGATTCATAATTTAGATAACATCTTTGAAGGAATTCGAAGATATGAATTAAATTTTAAAACGGTGCGGAAATGCACAAATTGTCAGTAACCAATCAGGGACCTGATTACAGCTGGTTAATACACAAATATTCTATAACCAATCAGAGAGCTTATTACATCACGGCTAGAATTAAAATTATTTAAAAATTCATACATAATAAAATCATTTTTTAAAAAATGCAAAATTAAATTGTATTTTAATATTTAACAACCATAAATAATGTTTAAAACATTATATTAAATTTATACATGTTAAAACCAGTTACTATTAAAGTAAAGTGACGTCATTGATTACATCAACCACAACATAAAATTTCATAAAATATCATAAACAATAAAATTTTTATTTCAAATAAAAATGCAAAATTAAATTGATTTTTAATATTTAGAAGCCATAAATAATATTTAAAACACGGAATTTATGCACAATAAAACACATTATTTTTTGAATAAAATGACAACGAAGTATCGGTTACCATAAATAACTTATCCAGCAATGGGTTTCGCCAAAAGAAAATTGCCAAAATCCGTGCAACCGTCTACCAAAGTAGCACCTAATAAATATGACTTAGTAATATTTATTTTCTCTATTTTGAACTGAAATTTCATCTTTAAATCTTGTAATACAATTTAGTTTTGCATAGTTTTCTTTTCTCTCTTTCTTAACTAGTTCTGTAAATTGAACTGTTATTTAAAATTAAAAAAAAAAAAAAAAGAAGAAGAAGAAGAAGAAAGAGGTTAATTGTTTTCCATGGTTGAGTAATGCTCATTCTCTCTTAATAAATACTGAATTTTTCTTTTAAGGTTATGCAGTTGTGTATAATGTTATTAGATAGGTGCTCATTTTTTTCTTAAAATGTGCTTGAAAAGTGCTTATAGGTGCCTATTTTTTAACTAAAATGTAGCTACAAACCCTGTTAACAAATTATTTAAATTATTTTTCTAATTTTATATAACTAGTCAGCTTTGTTTATTTCAGTTACTTTTGCAAAGTAATATATTTCAACCCCCCTTTTTTACTTCCTTGTATGAAGTAGAGAAAGTATTGTAATGGCAAAAAGTTTCGGGCATCATATTTCAATACAAATATCCATTTTGACCATTTAAACGATGTTTTTGCATGTCGTCTGTACACTTGGACAAAGGACTCTTTTTTTTTTTTTTTTCCCAAAATGGATTATAAAATGGACTCGGAAGAGGTTCCTCCCTCCATAACATCTGTACATACGTTTGTATGTATCTCGCATAACTCAAAAAACAAGTAGCCATAAAATTGTTGAAATTCTGTATACGAGACTGCTATAACATAGTTATGCACCTCCCATTTTTCGTAGCATGGACTACATCAAAACATGTACAGTGGCTCTCAAAGTGTTTGTACACTTATGAGTTTCAGTGAAATATTGCTTTATTCATTTATAAAAATTTATATTTGATAATGAGAATTTTTGATTAAATTTTTCTTAGTAAAAATACATTAGTTATTGTATGAACATAGTACAAGTGTTTTTTAAGTCTTTGTAAAAAGGAAGTATTGTATTCATGAAAAAATTCGGGTATCATGCTTCAACGAAAATATTCATTTTGACTTCTATCGAATGCAATTTAATGATGTTTTTGTGTTACATCCATACGTAAGGACAGAATAAAGGATTCTTTTCTCCCAAAAATTATAAAACCGATTTTATCTTTTAAAATATTTAAATAATGAACCATGTTCATTATTTGAATTATATTATCATTATCAAGTAATGAACATGGTTCATTATACCATCAGTAAATACTAAATTACCTAACCCTGATGCTGACATGCGTCCACACACAAGGACATCTCCACCGCCATGCATTACTGCTCCAACCAAGTTCTTGGGATTATTTTTGCATTTTGTATAATAAAAAAAGTGACAGATGATAACTTTATGAAATTTTATGAAAATATTTCGGTGTATGATGACTTTTGTGAGGCTTGTTTTATGATGCCTCCTTACATTTTTCAGTTTTATAAAAAGTAAATAAGTTTATTAAAGAAAAGAATTAGTTTTATTCAAAATCACACGGAAAAGTTATTAAGAAATTGGTTTTATTCAAAATCACAAGGGCATGATTTAAAAAAAACGCTGAGCTTTATATTCAAATTCAGTTCCAGGCTACAGTGTGTTGTCTACAAATTCTTAAAAGTGTATGAACACCTTTGAGAGCCACTGTATATATACTCTGTTACCTTGATGGGTGAGCTCAGTTTTTTTTTTTTTTTTTTTTTTTTTTTTTTTTATGCTGGTAAATTGTGCATTTTTTCTATTAAAGTGATTGAATTACTATTTTGTTCTTATGTTTCAATTAAGGTTTTTATACCTTTGCATTCCGTAGTTTAGAATTGTCAACAATTTTTATGTGGTGTAACTAAGCATAACGATATGATCATTTGTTTACATTTAAAACTCATAGTAGAACAGTGAATTATGTCAGTTGGTGCATCAACTTCAGTGTCTTTATGCACAATGGGACCAAACGTAACTTTCAATTTTGGGAACTGAAAAGTCTTCTTGTGCACTGACTGAATTGCTTGTTTTTGCATAGAAATTTTAATTGTGAAAATTGTGTTTTAAACTGTATTTGGTGTTTTAGTTTTTTCTATATTTTACAATTTTTAATAAAGATTTGAGTTTATATGCATTTTTGCTTTTCCGTGAAGTGAGAACTGAATTGATTGAATTAGAAATATATCTGTAATAACATTCGAGGAAATAAATAGAAATGAATTAAATATTCCGTATAAGAAAGTCCTGTGGTGTCCGCATCAGGAATTTTCCTTTCTTGATATGGAAACCAGAAATATATATACAGTTAAAAGTCGTTAATCCGGACTCGTCGGGACTTTGGCGATTCCGCATTATCGATTTTTCCGGATTATAGATCATCAGTTTAAATCTGGTAAGATGGCATGCAGAAATTATAAATTAAAAATAGAAACCGTAATTTATGAAATAAGAACAATTATGATCTAAAGGGTATCAAAATTTACAAAAAAAAAAAAAAAAAAAAAAAAAAGGCTTATATTTATTTGTTTACTTTATTAAACGTTCTTTCAATGTAAGTTTATGTGCTTTGTTTATGTAATAATACTTTCTTTAATTCCATAAACAGACATAATTTCTTCTTCAATTACAAAGTTCGCGTTGTTCAAGTCCTATAATTGCTGTGTCGAGAATACGACTAATTTGTCAATCAAAATTTTTCGTTTTTAAACTTTGTGTCCTTTCTCACTATCGGAAGGGAATTATAATCACGCGGAATTTGATTTAAATCATATCAAAGACGGAGTACATCGAGATGAAATACTACATTTAGTAAGGAATTAAACAAAATAAAATAAAAACATCTGCCCTGAAGATAAGGATAGTGCTGACAGATCAACTTCCAATTCATTGCGCGCCGTGGCGTTCCCCCCCCTTGTAGATCTTTTACATATTAGTAAATGTATATCGGAAATTCTATTTGACATAATCGAAAGTTCAAGCTTACTTTTATAAAATTGCTCTAACAGTCTGCAAAAAATAATAAGCCGGTTCCAATTCGAAGTTTAAGGAACAACACAATCTGCAACATTAACTGAATTGGAAAAAATTTAGCTTAGCTTATACCATCCGTTATACATTAAACGCGCATGCGTAAACGTATTATGTGCATGCGCGCACGCATATTCGCAGCCGTAAAGGTCTTACGCGCATGCGTCATGCGCAGAAAGTTTGTGGCTTTGAGGTCCGGATTATGGGTGTCCGAATTAACGACTTTTGACTATATATAAGTGCATTGTAATTATATATATATACAATTACTATATAATTACTTGGTAATGGCTTAATGCATTATAGAGATTAATAATTTATAAATATGTAATACAGACAAATTCATTTATGATAATATGTATTCTAGATAAGATGCCAAAAGAGGAAAGAGCTATGTGCGATTTTTTTCTGTCATAATAGTTAGGTTTTTCATCAAACTGTTCAATAATAGAGTATAAAATACAAGAAATTAGTCAAATTTTATCTCTGTATGTGTTCTTAAATATCATTGAAATACAAAAGAACTTCTAAATTAAATTTTGTTGAATCAGTATACGAGAGACAATTTTCTAAAATAAGTGAATGAAGAATCTGACCAAGGTTTTAAATGAAGGAAAAAGTTGAATTTCATTGCTTATTATCCTCTGAAATTCAGCATTTAAATTTTAATTGTCTTTGGTATAAATAATTTGTTAAATGTATGGATGTCTTGTACAATATGCATGATTTTTTAAAAAATTTCTTTTAAAATTTCTTCAGCATTTTAATATATTACATTTTCATAGAATAAAGTTGCAAATCTTCAGTGTGAGCTATCCTCTGCTAGATGTGAATTCCTTCAACATATATGCAGGTATTACCAAGTAAGGGATGGTCATGGAATCGATGCAGATGATGCGGTATGTAACAATGTGCTTCTTTCTTTTAAAATTTTGTAATTGAAATTTTAATATTTTCCATGAGGGATTAAGGTCTGTTTTATCTTTAGGAAGGGGGGATATGGTATTTACGATTATCCTGTCAACTGTGAAAGTTGGCTTACATCGCGTCCATGTTCATATATAATTCTAAAGTAAATAACTTCTATTTAATAAACAGTCGGGATTCAATTTGCTTTGTGTTTGCACATCTTAAAAACGTTTGTCTCGATTTCTACTATTTCATTAATCTTAGAACAGTGTTAGTACACATTTCCCGCCAATAATTGGTCTGCTTTATTACTGTTTTTTCGGCCATTTTCAGCTGACCATAGCATCTTTATTAATACACTTTGTTTTATTTATTTATGTTAGGATCCCATAACTTTGAAAATAATCCATTGCTTGCTCTTTTGTAGAAGGCAGATCCCAAATTTTATTTCTTTACTTTAAATACAAGAAAAACTGCAGCAGTAGCAGTTAATTTACATCCTTGGTACATAAAAACAAAAGGTGATTTATCAAGAATTAGTTGGGCTATATCAAATGAGAGCACATATGTTATCAACTGCATTAACTACTCATAACTGACGCTAAATTGCGCTACAGTCAAAAGTCGTTAATCCGGAATGATCTATAATCCGGACCTCAATGCATAAGCGTTTACTCATGCGCATATGCATTTACGCATGCGCGTTTAATGTATAACAGACGGCATAAGCTAAGCTAAAATTATCCAATTCAGTTAATGTTGCAGATTGTGTTGTTCCTTAATCTTCGAATTGGATCCAGCTTATTATTTTTTGCAGACTGTTAGAGCAATTTTATAAAAGTAAGCTTGAACTTTCGATTATGCCAAATGGAATTTCCGATATATATTTACTAATATGTAAAGGATCTGCAAAGCGAAAGTATGTTTTGAAGTCCATTAAACAAAAAGTGGAATTGCTGCAAAAAATGGATAAAGGCATATCCTTTGTTTTTCTAACCATTCTGAAATATGTTTATCAATTTTACGCTGCTCTGTGGGGGTGGGCAATAAACTGGAAGTTGATCTGTCAGCACTATCCTTATCTTCAGGGCAGATGTTTTTATTTTATTCGGCTTATAATTCCTTACTAAATGTAGCATTTCATCTCGATATACTCCGTAGCGGTCCTTATAAGGCTTATAAGTCCTATATTGAAAAAAAATAAGGCCCTTATAGGTGCTTAATTTTCTTTTAAAGTCCTTATTTTTTGTTTTAGTGCTTATTTTTTGTTTTAGTGCTTTTTTTTTTTTTTTAATGAACGCCCTATTTTTAATACCAAGCCGAAACTAACTAAACAACTTTTCTTCCTAATATGGAATATCAGATGGTGAGTCATTCCCGGAATAGCGTGCCCCCTTTTTCTGCATTAACATAACTTTGGTGTGCACGAAGAGTACAGACAGGTGCCCGTTGTTCTATTGAATTGCGAAAGCAGTAGAAAAACCGCTACATTCGGCATTTTTCCTCCCACCCAAATACTACACACGTTTGAATTTCTATCAAGATCTTAAAAATTTGCATTCTCGTTCTGCTTGGTCAGTTATATTCAGTTATTATGTGTTGTGCTTATATTATGAGCATATGTATGAATGTTTATAATAACATAGTTGCAGTACTGCTGAAGTATAGTAAACTTCCAAAAATTGTGTTTTAACACAGATTAGCTTTCTAAGGAATAATATTCGGAATGGCTTAAATAAGGGAAAGAAATCGAATAGTCAAAATAATTTCATTTTTTGGCCAATATATTATACAGTACGAAGGTTGGGAAGGTCTCCTTTCTCCGCAAAATCTTGAATATTGAAAACTGTACCAGTCGCGCAAAACAAGCAAACAGACTTTTTTTTTTTTTTTTGGTACTTTCCAATCTGGATTGAATAGGACTTAAAAGTTTGCGGTCTACCAACCCAAGCGAAGAATGATTCTATTGGAAATTTAACGCTGTCTGTTGAAAATTAGAATGAAAACACCCCGTTTAGTTCTGTATTCTCCCAATAACGGCAATGTTGATTCCGATTGCATAATATCACGTAGGGAAGAATTACGGCGCACATATTGTGCAATAGCGTTTGCGATATTGCAGAGATAATTAATTTGGTGTTCAGTCTGAGATTGTTTATGAACACTTACTTACTAACAAAAGGTTTACTGTGCTTGCTAAACAGAATATTTTTTAGTTCCGTTGGTTTATTTTTATATGATGCACATATTGAAATGTCAAAAGCATTTATTAGCGGAAAAATCTAAAGAGCGTCTACAGTCTACCCCCCCTCCGCTCCTTCAAGTTATGCTCGACTGTCCGAATATTCGCCAATTCCAAGTATGCGGGTTAGTTAAGCTTTTACTGTTAAAGATGGCTGCATGAAGCAAATTTCTGGCTTCTGATTTCAGAAATGTTCGCTCTTTTTTACTTAAATTATTTTGCTTGCAATTTCTGTTAAGAGAGAACTGATATACAATGAAAATTTAGAAAATGTTCAGAATTTAGATTTAAATTATTTAAATATCAATATGAGTGGAAAAATAAATTGTATTTATTATTAGTTCCAAACGAATACAATAAGTATGCCTTATTTATTATTTTCTCTATTTTGAACTGAAATTTATCATTAAATCTTGTAATATAGCTTAGTCTTCATAGTTTTTTTTTTTCTCATTGCAAACTAGTTCTGTAAATTGAACTATTATTTAAAAAAAAAAAAAAAAAAAAAAAAAAAAAAAAATATTTCCATGGTTTAGGTAATGCTTATTCTCTCTTAATAAGTACTTTATTTCTCATATTTTAAATTACAATTCTAATTTTTAAGGTATGCAGTTGTGTATGATGTAATAGAAGGTGCTTATTTTTTCCTTAAAATGTGCTTGCAAAGTGCTTATAGGTGCTTATTTTTTTAACTAAAATGTGGCTATGAACCTTGGATAGGATTTAAATCAAATTCCTCATCATTATAAATATCACGAATACGCATCAAATAGTTTTCTGGTTGCAATTTTCTAATTTCGACTATGCGTAATGTATGCTTTACGCATGTGCGCGTTGAAAGAAATGTTTAATAAAGTAAACAAATAAATATTAAGCTTTTTTGTAAATTTTGATTTCTTTAGATCACAATTCCTCTTTATTTCATAAATTACGGTTTCATATTTTTAATTTTAATTTCTGGATGCCATCTTGCCAGATTTAAACTGATGATCTATAATCCGGAAAAACCAATAATCCGGAATCGCCAAAGTCCCGACGAGTCCGGATTAAAGACTTTTGACTGTACTTAACAGCAGTTTCACAGTCGTGGTAATATGTAAATACCAAATGAAGTTCCTGAATTACCAAATTTTTAATCTATTTTTGTATTATTAATAATTATTCCAAAATATAAAATTATATTACAAAATTTCTTTAAACTAATGAAGATGTTTAAATGAGTGATCAGGATTGTTATTTATTTAATTGTAAAGAAAACATATCAGCTTAAAATTTAAAGTAAGGTAAAACAGCTATTAAAATAACTAAGCAAAATTTTATGTAAAAACTTACAGGTTTTCTTGTCTCTGCCTAATGTCAAATTACACTCAGTATACATCCACTCTGAAATACATCCTGTTTGGACATGAAAATGTTTGTTTGGCCTACAATATTTATTTGGAATGCATCTCGAGTTCAGTTAAACATGACTACGTACGCTACTCTTGTTTAACTATCAAGACAATGTTGTTATTGCCTATGAGCATCAGCATGCTTATTGCTACTATTCAGTTGCAGTAGGTATTCCTAGCTATTCAGTAAGCAGCCCACACCATAAGTGATTTTTGTGTTTTTTCACATAAATATTTTGTAGTTTCATGTACAGTATCAACTGCAGTGCTTCATCTCAGTACAGCTTCACCCATTACATTTGTATTTTAGTATTAAACAATGTTATAACAATAGGATTTTTTATAAATTATTTTATTTTTATTTATTAATTATTTTTCCTTATATTTCTTATTGGAAACGTTTGGTACAAGTCCACGGATCTGGAATGGATTAATGATGTATACCAAGGTACCAATGTATTATCCGTTTTTAAAAGATGTCTATTTTATATATATGTGTGTGTGTATATATATATATATATATGTTATATTTTGGCAGTCGGGCACAGGAGTGAAGAAGCTTGGCATCCAAATAATGACAAAGAATAATAAATTTATAGCTCCATGTCTTTATTCAATGCTAATGGCGTATCATTATTCTTTTAGATTACCTTCTCCAGAATTACATATGCAGTAGTAATTTAAACAAAATAAGATTAAATTTACTGTGTAATATTGTTCGAACAAAGGGAGGCAGATGGGAAAAACAGAAGAGATCTGATAGCGGCAGGAGGAGAAAAGTAGTCTAAATAAAAATGGCACGAACTCTGCATTTATAGTAGTGGTTACATAACATGCCAGAATGTCCTCGATAGTACTGTTCTGGTAGGAAGATCCTAAAATTGCGGAAAGTTAATTAGAGTTTGCCTGTTAGCATAAAGCAAAGTCATCATATTTTTTATACTTTATATATACATATTGTAGGGTTCCTCACTTTGTAAATGCTATGTTACTGTTGACATGAAGAATCCTAAGAACTAGTTAGTGAATAATAGCTTGATTTCATGTACGGGAAACATCAAATACGAAGGGTTAACTATCCCTTTATTATTTCAACTAAGATTTAACAAACTCTGTCTTGGAGAAATACAATAAAGCCGCCACTTAGGCTTGAACTTAAGAGATTAAGAATTAAACTCAAACTAATCTAAACTAAAGAGATATAGCCGAAGCTATCAAGATTCTAATAGAATCCCCTTAACGTTTAATGTCTTGCGAAGCTTTTAAGGGCCTAAAGCACGGCCAGGCGTAATAATAGCTTAAGAGAAAGTAGCCTAAAAAGGCAGACGCGTGCTATCTAGAAATCTGGTATCTCTCTCTCCCAGACTGGAGAACTTCGCGGTTTAAATAGCGCTTCTCCTCATTAAGTATT